GCTCCGATTCCAGACGCATCTGAGAGCAAAAGTAAAAGAGAGCAATATTGGTAAGAATAAAATTTGCTACAACTTTTGTTTTAAAAGTTTTTTTATAAAATGCTCCGATTTCCCAGTGCTACCTACCATTATTTGTTAGTAACAACAAATTCTTAAAATTTTCATATTTTCGTATTTTTATCGATATTGACGCATCTGAGAGTAAAAGTGAAAGAGAGCAATGTTGGTAAGAATGAAATTTGCTACAACTTTTGTTTTAAAAGTTTTTTTGTAAAATACTCCGATTCTCCAGTGCTACCTACCATTATCTGCTAGTAACAACGAATTCTTAAAATTTTCATATTTTCGTATTTTGTATGTTGTTTAATGGTATAGAACGAACGACGATGTATATGGAAAATGTCATGTCTATAAATCCTTGTAATAGGGATAATTCATTGTTAAAAGTACTCTTTAAAATCACCACTTGATATCAGTTTAATTAATAGATTTACAACTTTTATACCTTTGGCATTTAAAGCATTGCATATATCTTTGGAGTCTTGAGCGTATATTTCTATCTATACAGGATGTTTCACGTAACTGGACGCATCTGAGAGCAAAAGTAAAAGAGAGCAATATTGGTAAGAATGAAATTTGCTACAACTTTTGTTTTAAAAGTTTTTTTATCAAATGCTCCGATTCCCCAGTGTTACCATTATCTACTTATAAAATACCGAATTCTTAAAATTTTCATATTTTTCTCGATCTTGACACATCTGAGAGCAAAAATAAAAGAGAGCAATATTGGTAAGAATAAAATTTGCTACAACTTTTGTTTTAAAAGTTTTTTTATAAAATGCTCCGATTTCCCAGTGCTACCTACCATTATTTGTTAGTAACAACAAATTCTTAAAATTTTCATATTTTCGTATTTTTATCGATATTGACGCATCTGAGAGTAAAAGTGAAAGAGAGCAATGTTGGTAAGAATGAAATTTGCTACAACTTTTGTTTTAAAAGTTTTTTTGTAAAATACTCCGATTCTCCAGTGCTACCTACCATTATCTGCTAGTAACAACGAATTCTTAAAATTTTCATATTTTCGTATTTTGTATGTTGTTTAATGGTATAGAACGAACGACGATGTATATGGAAAATGTCATGTCTATAAATCCTTGTAATAGGGATAATTCATTGTTAAAAGTACTCTTTAAAATCACCACTTGATATCAGTTTAATTAATAAATTTACAACTTTTATACCTTTGGCATTTAAAGCATTGCATATATCTTTGGAGTGTTGAGCGTATATTTCTATCTATACAGGGCGTCACACATAACTAGTTCGTCAGAACTTTTTAGGTTCCATTATTCGGTCTGTTTTGAAATTTTGGTAGCATGGGTTGTTCGAAAGGAAATTTAATTCTCTACAATTTATCTATAAACATTCTTATACCTATTTATTGTAGTTTCTCTTATATTGGGAATTTTTTAAACATTCAAGAAATGCAGGAAATCGTTTGTATTTGTATTAGAAGGCCATGGCATTTTGACAGTTATTCGTTTAATTTATTTCTATAGTTCGTTTTTTTTCTATAATACTTGTCAATGTAAATTTTTTAGGGTTTCTGTTGGTATCATCTAGGACCATTACAAAATTTATGTTGTTTTCCTGATTTTTAGTAACATTTTCAGAAACTAAATAGTTGAGGTTAAAATACTATACAGGGTGAGTCAGAAAGAATGGGAAATCCGAATACCGGAGATACTAGACACCAAAATATCATGATTTAACGTAACATCTCTTATACAAATGTCAGTGGATTTCGAGGCATAAGGTGTTGAAAGTTAAATTCTTATTTCGAAATTTCTTGATAATTTTGAAGGTTTTTGTACTATTAACATAAAATTTCGTAGTTTTATGTNATAATTTTATGTATATATGTATACTATGCATAAATATATTATTATTATTATATATTTATGGTTAACAACAAGCATCGCATCATTTTGTTGTTGTCGAATTGCTCAGAAAAAGATGCGGATTACATTCGCAAACTAAATTTTTTTACCATTATGCATTTTTAAAATCGGGGTGCGGATTAGATTCGAATGCGGATAAGATTCGAGAAAATACGGTAATTTTTATTAATTTTAAAACAATTCGAATTCTTTACGATTATCTCGCATTCATAACAAATTCGTTAATTGTAGTCAATTTAAATCGATTTTAATTAAGAGAAATAAATTAAAAATATCTTTTTTTGATTACCTTGTTTATAATACCCTAGATAAACCAATTTTGAGTTAAATATAGCCTTTTAAACCAATTAAATAAGACTTTTTCTTTAAAAAAACTTAAATTCAATTTCAATTTTGACAAGCACTTGCAATATTTGGATCTTAATCACCATGGTAACCGAGACAAGTTGGATAACCTAACAATAATAAAATTATAACCGTTAATATTTCGCTTTATATTTTAATATATTTTATCTTTTTTTTATATTTTTGTATATTGCTTCTTAATTGAAATACATAAATAAAAACATAGAAATGTCAATTCTTCCAATGACGTCACAGCAAGGCCTTTGTGGAAGGATACGTTTATAACAACAGCGTTCATATGGAGTTGGATAACCTTATACAGTATGTTTACTCAACGGACTTTGGGGTACGATATTTAATTAACACAATGTATTATTATTTAACCTATACGAAAAAATAAAGACGCGACGTCCAGTCTAGAACACATCAGGTTATCTCGTCAAAATTGAATTTTTTTTCGTCAGATAGTTTTTGAAATAAAATAGCTTTTTATGAATATTGATAAAGTTAATGTCGCTATAATTTTTTGGGAACATGTTTTTGGACATAATGATAATAAAAGAGTACTAATAATGAAACGTTTTAAATGGAAATTCAAGTTAATGGGTAAAATAGAACTGTTTGTTTCATCCAAACTGTTTATTTTAACTGATAATATAAATTGTTACGGTGGAACGCGGTAACGTTCGGGTGCTCGCATTAATAACGGTGTGTAAATAAACGTAACGTCACAGGAACCCTCTTCTTTCCGTGACATTCATTTCTGTTTATAGCCAAGTCGTATATTTTCCTCTGTCCACCTGAACTTGACTCATTCAAAAAATAAATCCGATAGGAAAAGCACCAAGAAAATTTCAAAAGTGATTACAGCTCGTTAATAATTATTTACTCACCTGTGGAATACAAAATGATAAGCTAACTCCCCACGCAATCCATACCATAGCTTTTGATCTCCTCGATGTCCACGAACAATAAGTTAACGGATAACAAATCGCTTGATGTCTATCTATAGCCGTTGCTACCAAGATATACGAGCTTAAATATGGTCCTAAAGTTTGTCCGAATTTCACTAATTTGCACAGAATAAATCCACCCCGAAATCTGAACGTTACTTCCCATATTAATTGTGGTAAAACGCTTAAAAACGCGGTTATTAAATCGGCTACACTTAGATGCAAAATGAAAAAATACATTCTTGAAAGCTTTTTCCTTCCGGCGTATCGTCTTCTTGTCCATAAAGCTAACAGTACCGTACCGTTGCCAATAATGGTTACGAGAAATATAATAGCTAAAGTGGCAATTTCAATTTTTGCCAGGTTTTCATCTCGCTCGACGATGTCGATTACATTCTCTTCGGTTGTATCGTTTAACGGCGTCGCGTTCATATTGTTGCTGCATCCGTTATGAAAGTGTTGATCCATTTATAGGAACTGTTCTTGCACGGTTGATTCATCTATAAACAAAACAATGTGATAATTTTTTTGTATCGTTTCGTTTAAAAAAGTTATGTTGGAAAATTGAGATAAATTATTTAATTACATTTCTTATTCTTGAAGAAGAATCGTAAACGTTAAAATTTATGTAGTTTTATGGGATTCCCGGGAGTGGTAAATTTATAAATTCTGTTATAAATCCATTTTTACGATGTCTTTAAAATGAGCATAATGACCTTGTCTAAGAAATTCTCAATAAAATTGACTGTAAAAGAAAGAGGCTTTTTAAATCTTGGAGCTACGAGACGGATTAAAGTTGTGAAAGGGGAGGTAGTCTTTTAGAAGGGATTCATTGATTAGTAACGGTAAGAGTCTACCGTAACGATAGCATCACCCCCGAAAAAAAAATTAAGTGGGGTGTTCTGCCAAAAAGGTTTGAGTACTTAACATGAATGACATCCAAAGGCTTTGTTACTTTTAAGGTACCAAAAAGAATTAAATGGAACGGAAATGTTTTAATCGGTTTAGAAATTGGTAAAATTAACGAGGTGATAATGATTTAGAACCGTAAAGATTGTATCTAGAGAATAAATGTTGTAATTACAAGGTACTCCCCATTACGTAACTTTCCCCCCAACTTTGGACAACTTAGACAAGCCATTTTGTTTCATACACATATGGGTTTACACCGTTGTTGACCCTGTTAAAACTTTGCTTGGAACTTCTCATTTTATCATAATTACGTATTTCATCAAAGGAATGCATTATCGACTTTTTTATTCGATAAAGTAGGTATATTTTTAAAGAAAACAAAAAAAACACCTTAATAATCTTTGTTGTACGTGTTTTGTAAAGAGGAAACGTTGGCAAGCAAAGATAAATCCCGCGTCGTTTGCAAGGAAACTCACGCTACCAGGTAAAGATAAATTGTTTTTCCCCTGATCTAAAACCAGAATATCAAAGGGTTTCGTTCCGTACCGTTCGTTTCGTTCAAGGCGATCCATTGTGAAAACAACGAGACGAACAATCACTTGATCAATACCACGGTTTGTGGTGTGTATACATTTCCTGGTAAAACGTGCGAAAATAAGTGAATGAAAAACCACGTTACAGGAATTTTTTTTAAATAGAACGGCCTTTGTTAAATCGATATCAACCACCACGAGGACTATTTTATTTTGTGCATGAAATAGACTTTGAATAGAATTTGAATAGAATGAATAATGTACGTACGGATTTCAGCAATTATTTTTTATCTGTTTTTTCTTTTCTGGCATATTCACATTCAAATAGAAGTTAATTCTCAGTTAATACTTGGGTTATGATAGCAGCCTTTGTGTAAATTGTCCAGTGGAAAATCTGACGAGAATATTCATTTTAACTGGGGTCGGTAGTATTTAAAGGTTAAAGATTTTTTTTTGATATTGATTGGGTGCAAAAAAAATTGAAGATGAATCTATGAAATTGGAAAGTCAATTTCCTTAAGTGAAGCTATTTATTTTATGTATGTATACGTTGATTGGATGCAGTTTAAGTTTATTTCGTAGAATAAAGTGATGGGATACAAAATATGCAAACTACAAAATTTAACTTAATTATTTATCCTTAAAGGTGGGTTCATGCAACGTGTTTTAGTCGTAGTTGTTGGCATAGTCGTAAGAGTGAAAAGTTAAGGTATTGTGTTATAGTGGTACTGTTCATACAACACCTTACGACTAAAATGGTTTTTGTCCTAGTCCCAAGAGTTGTCCAACTTTTAACTTCTTAAAGCTAAAACAATTGGTCGTAACGTCACGCATGCGCACGTTACGTTTGCTTGCGCGTTTTGTATTTTATTGTATTNTTTCAACACCCTGTGTATTAAAAACCACCGACATTTGTATAAGACATGTTAGGTTAAATCGTCATATTTTGGTATCTAGTGTCTCCGGTATTCGGATTTCCCATTCTTTCTGACTCACCCTGTCTAGTAAATTTTTAGATAAATACGATTTTAACGAAGTTAAATAATTAAATAGAACAAAATACCTTTTCTATTTAAATAAATGACAAATAAACACCCCACAACATTTTTTTATACTTTTCTTTTTGAATAACGAAAGCTCAAACGTCATTGTGACATATTTATTGCAAAACATGATAAAACAAAACTCCCTGTAAATTTTGCCAACTTTACAACAATTTGACAGGTATAGAAAAAAATGAACTATATTATTATTTGTTCTATTAACTACGATTGATAATCTTTTAGTTTACTAGCTAGACAATTAAAACAAAAAATTAATGACAAAAATTAGACATGCATAAAAATATAAATTTATAATATAAATTTGTTATTAAATTGAATTTGGAAATGCAATAAAATACGATAAAACATTTATTTGATTGTCTTCATCACTGGTGACCAGATATATGGTTTCTTTTGGTCTCGATATGTCCAGAACTAAGAAAATCTTTACCAATTTTCTGAAATTTTTCCTTGTGATGGACATTACGTTTGTTAGGGATCTCTCATTAAGTGTTCGACACGTCCTGTCCAAAAGTTTATTACATTCGCCATCAATACAAAATAAATTTCAAAAATCGGCGTTAGAATATTCTGCCATGGTGTTCAATGACTTACGCCATAATCAAATGTAACATGGTGTGCAATCTTACTATTATAAAAATGTAGACCGAGATTTAGTACCCTCACAATCCACTGGATGACGTTGTAAACTGAATTTGCAGCAATCTGCATTATCTACACAAACAAAGCGCTTGTAACCATAGAAAAATTTATGTATAACGTCAAACTCAGAGGTGAAAGCAAACGTCACATTTTTGTTTTGTCGTTTAGTGTAATAATTGGTGATAACCCCGTTGTATTAGCAAATTTTCTT